CCTTTCATTTGTTTTATTTTCAAAGTTATATCAAAATCGATGTCAATAATGTCAGTTTGTTGGTTAAAATAGTTAATATCAAAATTAGTAAGTAAACAATTTAATTTACAGAAATAAAAAATTAAATGCTAATAAATAAAATATATAATAAAATATGATAAAATATAAATAATTTATTTTTGATAATTAAAAAATTAATTATTTGTATTTTATCATATTTTATTATTCAAAATGTTTTGCACATATTTCAAATAATATATAAAAAAAACAAAGAAATGCCATTTTTAATTATAATTTCCAGAAGAAAAATAATATTTTCGTTTTTGGCTTTTAACTCAAACGGCATTAAAATAAAATGAATCACGCAAGAAGATAATTGTTCTTGAATATATTTTAAAGAAAGTAAACCATAAATAAAAGGTGTGCTTGCTATTTGGAAAATTTTCATCTTGATAAGTAAAAATGGGCCGGTTCTGTGGATTTGCCCATATGATGTCGACTGGTACGACGACATAGTGACGAACAGTTTCCCAGTACATAAATTTACTGTATATAACGTTTTACATTTACTTGCATTCATATGCGCCAGGGTTGCGACGTCATTGAACCTTCCCGCGTGCCTAAAGAAAAAAATCGTTAGTTACTATGGTGTATATAAGTCTCACAGGTCACTCGGACTGTGCCGCGAAAAAATATATACATATATATATATACACAAGACCAACTCTTTTCAAACCCCGATTGCGCTAACGAATTAACAGCTTCAAACCACCTTCACTACCAGTATTTAACTCGTGTACGTATATAGTCGAAATTAAAAAAAAAAAAAAAAACAACAAAATAGAGATTCTTTACTTGAAATTGTTATTTCCTCGGTTCTTGGTGGTTTTTCTCTTAAATTGTATTTATTCGTGCAGGAATTTTCCAACGAGTTCAGAACTACAGAAAAAATTCTCCCCTGTTATTCATTATGTGTTTCATATTTTATTAATTAAAAAAGAAAAAAATTCTTAACGCTGAAATGTTTGATGGTTTTTATTTTATGTAAAATTATACATTTTTTAATGTTTACAAAATCCGAATATATTGATATTACATAAACAATTATGTTCAACAACTGTTGCAGAATTGTTACATAATTATAATTTTTAACTACATTCATTCTGTTACAGAATTTTTATGTAATTGTTACTGAACAATGCAAGTAGAAAAGGGGATTGTTAAATTTACTATTGGATTGTTAATACAGGAACTAACAAATCCGATTGGTTACACGGAGAGAAATAGATGGTACGGGGTACTATCTAGATAGTACCAGGTACCATATTTGATCTTACATATACGGACAGCAATCTAGATTCTATCAGTTACTATCCAGATTGTACGGGGTAACATCATGATTGTAATGGGTAACATAACCATACTTTTTGTAACATCTTTGATAGTACCGAGTAGCATAATGATAGTACCGGATAACATCTATACTTTTTACCATTTTAAGATCATAAGTTCTTACCATCTATTTCTCTCCGTATACTGAAATTGTTTTGTTGTTTCAACAATTGAGTTTGTTGTCACAGCAAACACCTGAATTGATTTTGTTGAATCCCAATTTGCTGAAATAACAAAATGTTTGCTTCAACAACAAATGAAAATTATTAGTTCTATGTTAACCCAAACTGATATCGTAATCCAGTACCGAATATATCAGTACTGCGGATTAACATTGGAAATTAAGTAGGACAGATACTAAATCGACACCGAAATTCAGTATCAGTTTTGCATTCAGGAACCAGTATTAGACTTCTGTATTGGATTCATGTTGGAACAGAATTAGTGATTTGAAATTTAATATTGTTACAGAACATAATGTTCTACAACATTAAACCTGATTAACGGAGAACTAATAAATCTGGTTTGTCGTGAAAACAAATGTTTTGTATTTCGAATTCAACAAAACCATTTTAGGTGTTTGCTGTAGCAACAACCTCAATTGTTGAAACACCAAAATAATTACAGGAGCTAATCGGATTTGTTAGATATTAACAATCCGATAGTAAAATCCCTTTTTCTAGGTGTGTTTTGGAATCTTATTCGGGAATTATTAGAAAAGTGGTACAGAATTTGTGATGTGATTGTTGGAATTATTAAATATATTGGAGAAATATAAATCAAGGGTTTAAAACACAATGAGAACACAAACAGTTACTGTTTAATTCAATAGAAGAATAAAATGTTATATACACGTGATTCAATAGTGTGTTAATAAGTGACAATAATACTGAATATACTTTTCGGAAGTGGTTGAATTTAGTGGGTGTCCTTTTTTTGACGTCTATGACCAGACTGACTTGTCCTTTAGTGATTTGGAAAAGGTACACAAGAAAAATAGAATTTAACCCCAAAAATCGGTATAAAAATTATCTGCAACAAATTTTATACTAATTGCGAGGGTGCCCACTGTCCATGTGAATTACACGGAGGGAAATTTTTCACTTTTAAAGTACCAATACTATATACTAGCGATTTTCGTATGTCCGTTTTCTTAACAAAAACGCTTAAAGTTATACTAAAATAGTTCCAAAAATTCCCATGCGTTAAAAGATCACTGGTATTAATGTTATTAGTAGCAATTTTATGTTTATCTTGCACGAATGACAATAAGTGAACATAGTTCCCCGCTCTGCCGTGCGAGATTCGTAAAAGGCACATACCAATATAGCGTCAACATCGAGCAATTATTGCAATTAGTTGTCAAATAATCGCTCGACGTTTGACGCTATATTACACTGAAAAAAATTTGCTTCGCATTAATGACTATTAACCATAGTAACTTTAAATCTAGTCAGCGTAACCAAGCATCCTAGTCAATTCAGTTATGTAGGTTGGTTAATATTGTCAAAGTCGATTTAGTAGAATTGACTCCTTATTTACTAGTTTAGTTATATTAACTAAGATGTTTGGTTAAAATGACATGTATCTATAGTCAATTTTGCTAATGTTTATTTAGTCAAAGTGATTCTAGCCTATGTAACTAAGATACCTGGTTATTCTGATAAGCTTCCCAGGTCATTCCGACTAATTGTCGAAATCAACTTTGACCAAGATTGCCTAGTGGGTTCCTCTCGTAACTAGGCAAATTAGTCAATTCCTGGCATACGGGGGTTAGGAATTTTTTCAGTGTAGTACTCTCTAAATCTGAATCAGTCATATTTTACTGATTAGCAGTAGAAATCTACTAATTGCCATAGCGAGAATTGAGCAACTGACAATTAGTACAAATTTACTGATTCAATTAGTAAAATATCAATTACTGATTGAATCACTCGGGAAGAACTCAAACTATTTTAGTATGTCCAAGAGTGATATTGGTATAAATTTTATGCTATTAAAGTCGCAATAGTTGTTTTACTAAATGAGTAAGTAGTTTTCATACGAAATTAGGGAGAAATTTCTCTCCGTATAGCATTGGTAAAAATTATACCCACAACAAAATTTATCCAGCGTTTTTTCTGCGTGATATTATCAGGTATAAAAGGAAAATATATAAGTAGTGGTGTATTTGTAATAGTGTGCGTTAGATTCCAAAACAAATTTTTTTGTTTTCTCAACACTTTGTATTATCATATACACTGCAAAAAGAAGTATATCTTATTTTAAGATGTTTTGGTAGCTTAATGTCTTAAATACGCTACCAAAACATCTTATACTTCTTTTTACGCAGTGTTTTGCATTAACAAACACAAGATTTATTTGCAATAAACACAGTTTAATCAATCCGATTTTTACACTCTGAATCCGTAATTATTTTGCTTCTTTCAGGAAGTATTTTTCCCTGTTCAAAATAACATTATTTTGTATTCCAGATTCGTTACAGAATTTACAATACTAATCTTTGTTTTTCCTGCATTTCTGGAACTTGTTCCAAAATCTAAACTCCGATTGTCAGTGTAATTGTATTTCTCCCTGTAGTTCCAGAACACGTTCCATTGTGTTCCAGATTCATTACTGTATTCTGTAACAAAATTAAATTGGTATAAAAATAAAAATTCCCCATTCGGATTAAGACAATAATAGAAACAAAAATAAATATATGAAAATTAATCCTTGGGAAGGATAAGAAAGTGCGCACATTCTAATGTCTAATTTCCCAGGCGATGCATATTCGCATTCGGTGAATTGAGAGAGAGAGAGAGATATTGGATCAAGTTGTGATCGTCTGAGGACGTAGTGGGTTTGTTTTGGTATAGGCGACACCGATGAACTTAGTTGCAAGCTATGGGTGGGTGTCCCGGTCGCGAAGGTGGCAGTGGCGGAGAGTATTTCGCGATGGGCAAGGTGGAGCGGAAGGTGGAAGGGTGAGGTTCAGTTGCCGAGGGGGGGGGGGCAAGAGAGAGAGCAGGTGGAAAGGACGAGGGGTTGCGAGGGGACGGATGAAAGGACGCTTACCAGCTACTACCTATTGATCGCCAATTCTTTTTCTCTTGTTGCATATTAGGCGCACTCTGCTCCTCTTTTCCCTTGGTCTCCGCACTGGCCTTCTCTTTTCCACCCTGCATCTGCACCCCCCCGCCCCTCCTCGCGTTATCCCTCTGGTTACGCGAAACCACCCCTTCCGCGAGCGAGCCACCCCTACCCTTTTACCTTTCCTACCTACAACCGGCCGACGCTCTTCTTACCGGCAATGTTTCATTTCAAGTAGTACCTTCCTGTTTCGGGGTGGGGCACCGCCCTTCTCTCCTCAGCCCACAGGTATCCGAATTCGCCTCATAATGTTATTGACAATTTTTCCCCAATGCTTCTTTTAAAATGGAAAACTTAAAAAATTCCCAACATATTTTGAAGGTTATTACATATAATTTATTAACACTGCTGGACGATTTTTGCGTCACCGTACAGCAGTGGTAATAAATTATTTCAATCTTTCTATAATTATTTTTAAATAGCAGCTTTTTTTGGAAAATCTTTTTAATTGTTATTCTTTCCCTTTTTTGTTTCAGATTCTGGTTTGGTAGTATATTGCCTATGTGAAGAGAGGTGCACGCCTTCATACAAAACGTTCCTTCAGGAGATACGCGGGGCAAGTTGTATCGCGAGGAGAAAAAGACAAGGAGCACTGGTTGAAATTCATATTTGCAAGAGAAAGAAAGATAGAGAAAGAGAGAGAGAGAGAAGCCGCCGGCGATAGAGCGCAAGCGTGCACGTGTGTGTGCGTTGTACTGTGTGTACATATACTATATAGTGTGGAGGACAAGCCGCCCCTACGTTAACCACCCTTCCACCCTCTTCCTCCCACCATCATCATTCTGCCACCGTCGTCTTTTCCCTCTCTTTTCCTAGCGTCGACGAAACGACAACGACAACCATCAACCCCTCCTGGCGCATGTTACGTCACGCGTGACGTCACACACAAACTTCTCCCCCAAAAAAAAAAATCAAATCGTACATCGAAAAAAAAAACACACACATAACTGAGGGAAGAAAAAAAAAATTTCTTGTAAAACACGCACTTGTGCCCCCAAAAAGAGAGGAGGGAACGAAAAACGAGAGAAAGAGAGAGGGTGAGAGAAAAACGAAAATCAAGTCATATCCACGCGGGAACACGAGACAAGGACTATATATATATATATATACAACACCTGAAGCCGGACGACGCAAACACACATCCTAAGATGTGATTTCAAAAATGGCGGATTGCCCCTATGCCCGCTGCATACAGGAACGCAGACACATACGAAGGGAACTGCTGCGATGGACAAAGAATATGGTCTTCGTAGTCGGTAAGTCTTTTATTTTTTTACCACACTATTTTAAATCATTTCTGTGACGGGGATCTAGTGCGCATGCGCAATAGATCTTTTCCTTATTTAAGAGAAGGGGGTAAAAATGTCCAGCAACTACTTTAAAAATAAAAACTGAACTGTCCGCAGTTTCTGCGCAATTTTTACTCCATAAATATAGTAAAATTGACTATTTCCAGAATAATTTTTACTATTTTAGGAGTAAATTTTTACTATTTTTGGAGTAAAAATTGACAGAAAATGCGGACAGTTTCGGTTTTACTTTTAAAATATATAGTAAAAGTTACTTTATTCGTTTTTTTTTCTCCGTGCGTCTATATTATAAAAAAGATTTCGCCGCTGTCTCCATGGGTCATTCAATATCAAGTGTACCCAACCCATGTTTTTGATTAGATGAGGTCAGATTAGTTATTCTTGACATGGAATAACCCATATAGAATATAAATTCTAGACGAGAATTTGAATGCTACGTGGAAACTTAACTGTATTTATATTAGTATTTTAGTTCTGATTTTAACCTCAAAAGCCAGCGACCTCTTGACCCATCGTTGTCTTCAGTATTGTACTAATAATGTCAAAAACATATAGGTTAAAAATTAACATAACATATCAATATACATAAGGCCAAACGACAAAAACATAGATTAAAACGAACATAACCTCAAAAATCAAGGTACTAGGTCTTTTGAATTGATGGTCATATACCAAACATAATCTCAAAATTCTAGGGTATAGGTTCAAGGCCTCAGTTCAAACATAACCTCAAAAATCAAGGTCATAGGTCAAACATAATCTCAAAATTCTAGGGTATAGGTTCAAGGCCTCAGTTCAAACATAACCTCGAAATTCAAGGTCATAAGTCAAACATAACCTCAAAATTCTAGGGTATAGGTTCAAGGCCTCAGTTCAAACATAACCTCAAAATTCAAGGTCATAGGTCAAACATAACCTCAAAATTCTAGGGTGTAGGTTCAAGGCCTCATTTCAAACATAACCTCAAAAATCAAGGTCATAGGTCAAACATAACCTCAAAATTCTAGGGTATAGGTTCAAGGCCTCAGTTCAAACATAACCTCGAAATTCAAGGTCATAAGTTAAACATAACCTCAAAGTTCTAGGGTATAGGTTCAAGGCCTCAGTTCAAACATAACCTCGAAATTCAAGGTCATAAGTCAAACATAACCTCAAAATTCTAGTGAATAGGTTCAAGGCCTCAGTTCAAACATAACCTCAAAAATCAAGGTCATAGGTCAAACATAACCTCAAAATTCTAGGGTATAGGTTCAAGGCCTCAGTTCAAACATAACCTCGAAATTCAAGGTCATAAGTCAAACATAACCTCAAAATTCTAGGGTATAGGTTCAAGGCCTCAGTTCAAACATAACCTCAAAATTCAAGGTCATAGGTCAAACATAACCTCAAAATTCTAGGGTGTAGGTTCAAGGCCTCATTTCAAACATAACCTCAAAAATCAAGGTCATAGGTCAAACATAACCTCAAAATTCTAGGGTATAGGTTCAAGGCCTCAGTTCAAACATAACCTCGAAATTCAAGGTCATAAGTCAAACATAACCTCAAAGTTCTAGGGTATAGGTTCAAGGCCTCAGTTCAAACATAACCTCGAAATTCAAGGTCATAAGTCAAACATAACCTCAAAATTCTAGTGAATAGGTTCAAGACCTCAGTTCAAACATAACCTCAAAATTCTAGGGTATAGGTTCAAGGCCTCAGTTCAAACATAACCTCAAAATTCTAGGGTATAGGTTCAAGGCCTCAGTTCAAACATAACCTCGAAATTCAAGGTCATAAGTCAAACATAACCTCAAAATTCTAGGGTATAGGTTCAAGGTCTCATACTGTAAAAAGAAAGGTATTAATTTAATACCGACTTCAGGTACGAAATTTTCATTTTGTTCTATTTTGATACCTAAAATCGGTACTGTTTTATTAATTTTCGGTACTGTCTTAGTACTTTATTTTTACAGTTCAAACATAACCTTGAAATTCAAGGTCATAGGTCAAACATAACATCAAAATTCTAGGGCATAGGTTTACAGGATTCAAATGCATCAGTTCAAACATAACCTCAAAATTCAAGGTCATAGGATAATACATAACCTCAAAATTCGTCAAGGGACGAATTTTGGGTAAACGGACATAGCCTCGTTTAAGGCTATGCCCAACAAATAACTTGAAAGTCCCCTAACCAAGAAACGAACATAACCTCAAAATTTAGATAAAATTTAAATAATTTTAATAATTGCAAGCCTTTGAAAAATTAATTATTAATGTGAAAAATAATTGAAAATAAAAATAATTTTAATTTTGAAAATATCACTTTTTGAATAAAGGAATTACACTATTTTTAAAAGCGTAGGAAAAAACGCATTTTAAAGACGTAAATGTATATATGAAAAATTATATACAATACACTATTTTAATTTTTCGATTAATGTGATTTTAGTAATTGTTGTATATGCATTTTTAAAATGTAAAATTTAAATTTAAATGATTTTGACATAATGGTAATGAAATTGATTCATTTAGCATATATATATACACGTATATAGCATTGAATTGAGCGTTCAGTCAGTCGTAAATTATACGTTCGTTTTTGTCTCTCGCTATCTCTCTCTCTCTCTCTCTCTCGTGTTAAATTAGCTTTAATGGAGTTACTCACTTTTCACTTTCTATGGCTCTTTTGCTCTACCTTCTTTTTATATTGCAATAACTTCATGTAGTTAATTTCCATGCAAAACAATGAACTGTTGCAACTTAAATCTCATTTTAATACTAAAGTTAGATTAATGTAGAAACCGTCCTGAAACTTTTTTTTTTTCTTCAATATAAACTTTCCTAGCGAAATTGATCTTAAAGCAATTGTTTAACACTGCTCTTTTTATACTCAACAGTTTCCCCCAACGTAAATTTCAATCAATGAAATTTTTACCCTTTTTTTTGACATTTATTGTCATTTTATAATCTTCCATATAAATTTTTTTTTAGTTTAAAATTTACATTTTTACAAAATTTATATATATTTACTCCAAGTCTCTAATTAAAAACAAATGTATACCTGAAGCTTCAAAAGAGTTTTAGATTATGATTTTGATTTTTGAAGAGAAAATTCAGAAACGCAGGATAAATTCTTTATGCAAATCATTACAACCAGAAAAAAGATTTCTTTGATTCAAAAAAATTTATTTTCGTTTCAAAGAAATTTTTTATTTAATTCAAATAAATATGTTTCTTTGTTTCTATATCAATGTTAGAATTTCTTTGATTTAATGCAAAAATTTCTTTTATTCAAAATAAAATTTTCTTTGAAACTAAGAAGCTATTTTTGTTTGAAAGAAAATTTTATTTTGAATGAAAGAAAACAAGTCAAAGAAATTGGTGCGTCTTTAAATCAAAAAAATACTTTTCTTGGGGTGTGTGATGTTTAAGTCTTTATTTCATAAAATAAAATCTATTTTTACTTTAATAAAAAATGAACCTTTTATTCAGGTAAAACTAAAACATAACCTAAAATATTTGGGAGCTTATACCTTTTTTTGCTGAGCGTTACATTTATTATATATTAGGTATACAATTATTACACGGAAAAAAAATCTTTACCTGGAACTGCGATACGTTTCACTGGAACAGAAATATGTTTTATTAAAGCAGCGAAAGTTTTCGCTATATTCTATATCTCTGTTCGAAGTAAAATTTGTTTTCCATGTAAGTAATTAATAGTAACAGGTAACGAAATAAAAAAAAATAGTAAAAAGTAGCAAAATCTCCCCGTGTAGAAATTGCCCTACCAGGGCCCTAGTAGGGAATGAAACGCTGATCGTGGCCAAATCAGGGCGACCAGAAAATGTGGATTTTCTAATCAGGGCCACATTAGGCGCGGCGTTTCATTCCCTAATAGGGCAACCCCCTCCCTAATAGGGCAGACCTCGATCTGGATCCTATAGCATAATTTCTGCCCGACTCACTAAAACATAACCTCAAAATAAATTTAAATGATAATTACTTATTTTTAACTAATTGATAGAATACTATTTAAATCAGTGATTTTTCACTATGAAATTATTTTTTTAAATAATTGAAATTTAAAAACAAAACGACTCGAAAGAAGAGAAAAAGTGTAATAACAATAATTCTAAATGTGGAAAGAAACAGTTTATCTAAAGTTGCACACACGTGTGTAAGAAAGATGTTTGCATGGTTTCTCGGATAACGTAGTTTGCTCCCGAATGTATAAGATTGTATATATATATATATAGAGGAAATGTACATATATAGAAAAGTCTAGTTTGCTGTATAAGCGAGCGTTGGAAATGTGTGCGAAGGATCGAAGTGAGATATGAGTTTGTGTTGGTGAAACCTGTTGCGAACCAAAACTCCCGAGTCCTGGTTACATGCCGGGCATATCTCTCTTGCTCCGATTCCAACAGTTCGATAGTCTCTAACTTCTGTAGTGGCCGTTTATTCCTAAACGGTATTATGTTCCTCGTTTCTTCGTTTCGCGAATCTAGCTCAACGCTTTCAATTATTTATTAGACTGCCAACCCCGTTTCTTCTTTTATTTTTTTTCGTTACTTTCTTACCAACCCCTTCGCAAGCCTCCGGTCAACTTTTTTCGCGTGTGATACATTTTAAAATTAGAAGTACTTTTTTTTTTATTTTCTTTTTCCACGATTTTTTCTTTTTGTATTTCCATTTTGATTTTTATTTTCATTTAATTTTCAATTTGCACTTCCTTTTGATTTTGTTTTGTATTTCCACTTTAGATTTCTATTCCTTTGATAATTTTTTTTTTGTATTTACAATTTGATTTTCTGTTTACTTTTTGGATTTTCCATTTTCATTTTATATTTCTATTTTAATTTAATTTTCCATTTAAATTTTGATTTTGTACTTCTATTTTTATTTCCTATTTCCATTTTGATTTTGTTTTATGTTTCCAATTTGATTTTCCATTTTTATTTTGTACTTCCATTTTATTTTGTATTTTCATTTTTATTTTCTATTTCCATTATGATTTTGTATTTATATTTTGATTTTGTTTTGTATTTCCAATTTGATTTTGTACTTCCGTTTTAATTTTGTTTTATATTTTCAATTTGATTTTGTGTTTTTATTTTGATTTTCTATTTTTATTTTGATTTTTGTTTTATATTTTCAATTTGATTTTGTGTTTTTATTTTGATTTTCTATTTTTATTTTGATTTTTTTTTGTATTTCTAATTTGATTTTGTAATTCCGTTTTGATTTTCTATTTTGATTTTGATTTTTGTTTTGTATTTCCAATATGATTTTGTACTTCCGTTTTAATTTTGTTTTATATTTTCATTTTGATTTTGTGTTTTTATTTTGATTTTCTATTTTCTATTTTGATTTTTTTTGTATTTCCAATTTGATTTTGTGTTTTTATTTTGATTTTCTATTTTCTATTTTGTTTTTGATTTTTTTTGTATTTCCAATTTGATTTTGTACTTCCGTTTTGATTTTCTATTTTGATTTTGATTTTTGTTTTATATTTTCATTTTGATTTTGTGTTTTTATTTCGATTTTCTATTTTCTATTTTGATTTTGAATTTTGTTTTGTATTTCCAATTTGATTTTGTGTTGTTATTTTGATTTTCTATTTTCTATTTTGATTTTGATTTTGATTTTTTTTGTACATATTTCCAATTTGATTTTGTACTTCCGTTTTGATTTTCTATTTTGATTTTGATTTTTGTTTTGTATTTCCAATTTGATTTTGTGTTTTTATTTTGATTTTCTATTTTCTATTTTGATTTTGCTTTTTTTTTGTATTTTCAATTTGATTTTGTAAACTTCCGTTTTGATTTTTAATTTTGATTTTGATTTTTGTATTTCCAATTTGATTTTGTACTTCCATTCTGATTTCCACTTTATTGACGAATTGTATAATTTTTTATTTTAAAAATATAAAAATAAAATTGAATAATTATTATTAATTAATTATTAAAATTCTTTATTTCACCTCGATCAATATATCGATAGTAAAAATTTCTCTTTTGTCTTGCTCTTTGGATGAAAAACTTAATCAGATTAATAAGTTATTTAAATTAGATTATGAAAATTAATAATGTGAAGGCACTGATGTATCTAAATTGACTGGTAATTAATAATTCTTCACTAGTTCATGATTAACCAAATCCTGGAATTTCCCATTTCTATGTGATCTCACAAGGTTCTGCATAATTAATCATAATTATATTATTAACACAAAATAAAAGACTATACACAATATATACCTATAAATTTCTATCAAAATTTCATATATCATATTTATTATTTAATGGTAAATTATTTATTACTATTATTTATTTATCATTTATCATTATTATTATTATTATTATTATTATTATTATTATTGTATTATTATTTACTTTTGTAATGTTTTATTATTTTTTTTATTTATTATTTATTTTTGCATTCTATTATCGTCATTTTTTTAATATTATTTTTTAATTTTCCATTTTTTAGGAAAATAAAAATAATTTCTATCTAATATCAGGGTTTTATTTTAACAAATTTTATTTTTTTTTTTTTTTGAAAATATAACGCAGTAAAGAATATAAAATTTGACAGATGTTTCGGAGGTGTAATTAAAAATGTAGTTCATTTTTTTTCCTCAACAATA